AACCGGAAATTGATCATTACGAGAAATGAAGAATTTATTATTCAAAATATAATTTTGCGGTTTCTTTATTATTTTTTTACATATTAACAAAGTACCTAATTTTTAATATCTACGCAAAGGCATTTTGAAACGATTATAGTTTATTTTGGTATAAATTTGAGATTTAATTAAGGTGTAGACGTGAAACAATGCTGAGAAACTATACATCAAACTTGACGATGTAACCTAAACTTGAACACATGAAATTCTGTGTTCTCTCGAAGGGTATACTTCACCTGTTAGAAATATGGTATTTGATTATCAACAATTATATTATGTGAAGTGTTATGCTCTTGTTTCAAATTATGCGATAATAGAGAATTTCAATTTTAATTACACTAAACTCTATTGTTCTCTAGTTAACATTTACTAATTAATCAATTTTTATTAAAAACTAAAACCAGATTTACTATAGTATGTGAAATTTATCTAAAATTCGTTGTTTCCTTAAATTCACCACTACCACAGTACGGATGACATTGGATAAATTAAATTTTGAATAAAAAATTCGACGCTGAAGAAAAGAAGGAAGATAGAATTGAGGGATATAAAGTTATGTATAAGCTAAATTAGTTTAGGGTGTGGGAGTTTTGAAGCTTACTGAAGACGTTTAGTCGCTCTAAAGCGACGTTTAGAGATATCTCCGTGGATAAACGGGAACTGTGGCTAACGTGACAGCAAGTAGCAAAGCATCAGCGACTCATTGCCTTCCAGGGGTGCTTGTAAACTTCGTTGTGCTACAACTAGCTTTATACACAATGTATTATATCTCTAGTCGGTTGTTTCCCTAATTTATGATATGCATGCAATGTAAACTGCCATAGTTGCGCCAGGGCGAAGGTTTCACCCGTTCCCGGCAGCTGTAACCGCTTGCCATCAGAACGACAGAATTCTAGCTTCTGCAATGTCCCACTGTTTATATGTATATATGTACTCTTTGCATACCAATATGTTGTTGTCATACGCACACGATTTATATGTTTTGTTGTCGGTCATTAAAATTTACTTTTTCTTTATTCACAATTTTTCCAGTTATATGGAAATATGATGATATACTAAATAGAAATAATCTATTGCTCAGTTTTTTCAAAATCTGTTTTACCTTAAATTTTTATTTTTAAAACACAGGCACACAAAAAGTAAAATGTGGTTTGGCCGAGACACTACACTAGTCTATTTTCATGTATTTTTTCACGCTGAATCCGAATCCGAAGTCAGAATTAACAGATTGGCTTTTATTTTTGAGATAAACTCAAAAAACTGCTCAGAAAGAAAAATAAAATCAAAAAGTTAAACAATTTTTGAATGTCACTGCGATAGTGTAATTCCATGTATTTTTTGTCGCTGAATCCGAATCCAAAGTCAGAATTGTTAGATTCGCTCAAATTTTTGAGATAATTGCAAAAAAACTCAAAATACTCAAAATCAGTTTCTTGGAATTATCTTCAAAATTTGAGCCAATCTGTCAATTCTGACTTCGGATTCGGATTCAGCGACAAAAAATACATGGAATTACACTATCGCAGTGACATTCAAAAATTTTTTAACTTTTTGATTTTATTTTACATACATTAAAATAGACTAGTGTAGTGTCTCGGCCAAACAGCTCTTTATTTTTTATGTGCCTGTGAAATTAACAATATTTCTTATCACACATGTTCAAAAAACTCGCGGTTTTGTGTGTGCAAAGCGGATTGTAACTCCAAGTTTTTAGGTTAGGTGTCGCCAGAGGGAAAAAAACTTTTCAAAATGGGATTTAAAGGAGAAGAATAGCACTTTCAGATGCAATATTGATCTTTTGGAAAGAAAAATTATCTCTTGATGTTGCATAATTTTAAATGCAGTTAAAAAACGGATTTTTTGCACATTAGGGTTAGAATATCTCCAAAAACCTGACGTGCACGGTCAATTCTGAGGCCGGATTCGGATTCAGCACGTCGAAAATCTTCGGAAAAGTATTGTCTGATTCTTGAAAAGTAAATCTTGTCGGCCTGTGTTACTTAAAAGTACATGTCTAGAACTTTAATTAATAAAAAAAATTTTTTTATCAAAAGCCTTATGTGTAATGAGCCAATAAAGTGACGCCTTCGGGAAAAACATGAAATCCAGTGACCAGAATTCCGCAAGTACACCGAAAAAACGATATTCTAATTTTAAGAATTTTCAACTTATTTTAAGAATATGCGAGGCTTAAATAGGCGCCACGAATATATTCTTAAATTAAGAATAGAATCTTCTTATATTAAGAATATTTTCTTAGAATCACTTTTTTAGAATATAATCTTAAAATAAGTATATTTTCTTCTTGTATCAAGAAATATACTTTTAGCAGTTTTAAGAATACTATAAACTTAATTTAAGAATAGTAAATACTTATTTTTAAACCAAAATATACATAATTTCAAATAAAGAAAAAGTACAGTATTTTTATTTTAAAAATATTACTTTTATTAAAGTTTTCAAAAAAGAACACAATTTTAATACTTAAAGACAATGTTAACCAATTGTCGAACATTTTTTTCAATTTGGGATCACAAAAACTTAAATTACGTAGATAAAATTAAGAAACGCAATATTATTTTTGTATAAATTTCTAAACGTGAAAAATTAAAACTAAACAACAATTATTACAATTGTAGAGAACAATACTTTTAAAGTTTACTATGATTGTCAAAAATAACACTCCGACGCGCACGACGACTCGTTAGTCAATGGCGACGCGAACAAGCTAGCAGCATGGCAATTCTAGCGCATATTCTTGTTTTAAGAAGAACAAGATTTAGTACATAGAAAATATTCTTAAAGTTAGAATCTGCTGAAGAATATTATTAAGAATATTTTTTTAAGAAAATAATAATCTTAAAACTAGAATACCGTTTTTTCGGTGAATAGTTCATCTAAAATGCAAAAAATAAAAATTTATTTACATTTCTTATTGGCGATTCAAACAGCTACACTAGCGCCACAGTTGAACTAATTTAGGCGTGACTCGCTCTGTAGCACTCCATGTGTTTTAAATTATTTTTTTTTATTTAACGCTTAAAAATAATTTTACAAACGCAATAAAAATATCAGAATAATTAAATAATTTGAAATAAACTGTCAAAACAGAGACTGCTTTAGAGCGAGTCACGCCTAAATTAGTTCAACTGTGGCGCTAGTGTAGCTGTTTGAATCGCCAATAAGATTGTCTAGTTCCCAATCGAAGGAAATTAGAACAACAACTTTACATTACGAATATCAGAATGAGAATGAAGATTAAATGGCCGACGAGGCATACTCGATGGCGTCGCTGATCAGCGACCTCTTCCCTGATCCGACGCAGCAGTCGGTAACGCAGATCCCGAAACTATCCGATGTAGACTCGATTAACGATAAATCTATAAAGGAAAGTGGCTGCCAGTAGTATTTTGCCAGATCATCAACAAATCAGCGATTTTCTCCTCCATTGCAGTTTGTAAATGAAAAAAATGTTTCAAATTACAAAATCAAATATGCAAATTATATAAACATTAAAGGCAATGAAAATGTTCATTCATCGAATGAAAGCAAAAACCATTGTGAAAAATATATAAATATTTCAAATACATACAATATTATAAATCATGGAATTTAAATGTAAACAAAAAACATTAGCAACCTTTTATACCGGAAGAAGTAAAGTGTCGGTTACAGAAACTCTTATCCTATATAACAATGAAAAAAAAAATATCAAATCGTGAAAAATGCTTTCTCGTTTTTTATTCTTTTTTTTAAATATTGCCCACCAGCGTTTTTAAAATCACTAATAAATTCTGTTTGTCGCTTTCAGGGCGAGGGCGATGTACACACACAAAACTTGGGGGGGGGGGTAACTCGTTTATCTCGATGGTAACCTGAATGGCATGTAACTAACGATGCAGTTCAACGGGTTTTGGACCTTTTAGGTCTTGTAGCATTGCTGATACGATATTCGTATATGTTTGTTTGTGTGTGTGCAATTCATAGTTGTCTCCGATTAGCTATTGTTTATTTTATCTTGCGGAAATCGTCGGTCAGCATCAAATAAAAACAAAAATGACGCTTCCCGAGTTATATGCAGTGTATTTCTAAATAGTCACTAAATTTTGCGATGAATGGAAATCAATTCTCGAATGTCAAGAACAAATTCACGCAATGAAATAAAAAGATGATAGGATAAATTGCCTTTCAGTAATATTGCGCTTCATATAACATTGTTTACTTTAGTCTACTGATTTTTAGAATTTTTGAATAAAAAATCCACTTTGGAAGATGCAAATTTTTATAAATTTTCGTACACAGAACAATAAAAATGTTTACGAATTTTTATACCGAGAATATGGTTCATCAAATATAATAATTTCGACATTTTTTCTTTACTAAATTTTGATAGTTATTTTTTTTTTTTTTAACATTACGTTTTCATATATCTAAATAAATATACGTACATAGAAGAGAATTTTTTTTCCTTTGTAGTTTTGGAGTGATGTGAAATGTTCTTTTTATTCACTATTATATATAAATTTTTCTGTGCTTGTTATCAATTAATTCACAGTTGAAACAAAAGACTTTACAAACCACGAATGTTTTAACTTTTTTTTTTTTTTATTTAAATTTCTATTTCGGTGAATATTTTTTTTTCTCTTCTCTTTTCACAGAACTGAAAGATACGGAAATGTTAATACGTCTAATTATTACGCCAAGGGCAATTTCTATGAAACATATGCGGTTGGATTTGGCAAAAAGAGAAACCTTATTAATTCACAAGAATAATTTCCACAAAAGGCGAAAAACGGATTTGCTTTATATATATAAACTTTTTGAAATACATCCGCACTGTATTGTTAATTTAACGAAGAGTTATGAGAATATAATTTTGAATACAGGAAGTGGAATTTTTTTTTATACCAGCTTTAAAATTGCAAATTGTTAATATTAATTTTTTTTTTCCTTTGTTTCAGATGAGCTTACAAGTGTCGTGGGTGAGGTACAGGGATATTCACCTGCTGACCATTGGACGATACACATACACGAATGATCAACGATTTCGTGCAATTCACAACGTGCAGTCGGACGATTGGACGCTTCAAATAAAGTATCCTCAGCACCGAGATAGCGGGCTTTACGAATGTCAGGTCTCTACAACTCCACACATGAGCCATTTCGTACACCTGAACGTTGTCGGTGAGTTTCATTATTTCACTTGACATATGCATATATGATATTTTCCCTTGAAAATAATTCCAAAAGCGTATATATATGCGACTCGCAAATTTCAGTCGTGTTCCGCACACCAGACAAATGTCGTCAACAGCTCTCTTTGTCCCACGCTAATTCTAGAAAATTTGTTCCCTCAAAACTAATGCGATAATCCCCTTTCCAGTAGCTCAGATAAATAATGCGCAGAGAGAAGAACAAAAAAAAAAAATCCGTTTGTTTGAGGAAAAAGTGAAAGATTTGTGAAATATGAAAAAAATTGTTATGGCCTTACTGAAATTATTTTTACCCTTACTTTAATTTAAATTGTACTTAATTAATTGTATTTTGCTTCAGCTAAATCATAACTCGATCTTAAATTCTCCTTTAGAATTATAGTTGCTTAATTCTATTATTTTTGTTTTGATAAAATTTATTCTTTTTTTAGTGATGCCATTGATGACGTATGCAGAACGAGAGTATAAGAAATATACTCAAAAGATTATTCTGGTTGAATACTGTGCTAATTTCGTTGATAATACAAAATAAAAATTTTGTATTTTAAAAAAAATCTTTGAAGAATATTAAATCCTGTAAAAAAAATCATCATCAGGATAAATTTTCAATAGAATCTATTACAATGATTTAGTTTCGTTAATTATTTATTGCTTTGTTTTTCTCGAATTAGAGTTTGTTAATTTGTAATAAATTATATTATATTAAATTATTAAATTAATTAAATCAAAAAAGTTAGAAACTACAATTTAAATGACGATACATAGGGCTCTATTGTGTCGTGTGTTAATACTTTTCCTGAAGTTGGCTCCGACGCTCAGCGCCGAAAATTCTTTTTCGCAGAATCAAAAATTTCAAATTATATATTTTTTTTAAATTCTTTAATACAAATAATACCTTGAAAAATACTTCTCAAAGCATTGTGTTGATTTAAAACCTTTTTAAAAAATATTTTGATTTTTTTGGTCCCATGAAACTCTTTATAATCTCATTATCTTAATGTAATTTTTTCAAAAAGAAAAAATAAATTTACTTTGTTTAAATTAATTTGAAAATTTATTTTTCCATTAGGCTAATTTTTTGTTTCCTTTTTAAGTCTGATGAATTTAATTATAATTTACGCGAGCTTTGTTAGCTTGAAAAGATCTAATTGTAATATTTGCCGGGTAAACCTGTTGCTGGCATGTGGTGGCTTTTAGTAGTGCACAGCTGTGAATTCGCCTGAAGGAACAATGTCAGGAAAAGAATAAGCTCTTGTGGGAAATGGAAGTTAGGATTTTTTGTAACTATATACATATATATATATATATATATATATATATATATATATATATATATATATATATACGTACACACAACACACGTTGTCCTGTTTCAGTTTTGTTGACTTGAGAGAGAGTCAACTCGAAGGATTAAGCCCCAAGCGCCGCGTCTATTTCAGTTTTCTCACTAGATCACGAATACCGAATTTGAATAGTCGGCTTTAGTGGAGAAACGTCTATTCTTTAACTCAGACGTTTCTCTTGACTCTCGTTCTTTCTTTTTCCAAATTTCCCTTTAGGGTGAAAATTTAAAAAAAACACGTTAATTTTTCTAACAAATCTTAGAAATTAAATGCAACTTTCATCATTTTGTTGTACTATTTTCATATATAAAAAAAATAAATTTTCATATTTGAGAGAGAGAGAGAAAGAGAGAGAGAGAGAGAGAGAGAGAGAGAGAGAGAGAGAGAGAGAGAGTAGTAATATAAAATTTCATTGCGGCTCTACACTCGATACGGCTAAGTTTCAAAAAGTTTATCCATGTTCACTGAAGGAATCACCGTGTCTTTCCAAGTCGCGAAATGACTTAGTACTTTATTTAACTTTTATTGATTTTATCATTTCAGTTTGTACAAATCGCTTTTAATGTTACTACCGATTGAATAATTTAGTAAGGTCTTCGAATATTCAATATTCCATTTGAATTCAAGAATCAATAAATAATACTCATAATACTAATATAATTTTTAATTTATAGTAAAAAAAAAATATTCTGTAAAAATTCAATTCATGTTAAATATTTATAATTTCTTTTTAAATAATAAATAAAGGTACGCGCCTTGTCATATATATATATATATTTTTCTTTTTTTTGTGACTGACTTAACTGCCTCTTAATTATAAACTCGAGAGTAAGAAAATTGAAATTTCGGTTGGTGCATTTATAAAAGCATGAATGAAGAGTTTGAAAGAGAAAAGGTGAAATTGAAAAAGTCCATTTCGACGAGTTTTAATATTTAAGTACCAACAGAATTCTCCATTTACAGTCATGAATTATTTGCAAAAAACTCATGTTTGAACCTAGTTTCTGGACAGAAGAAGCCACTTTTCAGAAGAGTTCTCCAATTACCGTGGAAGAGACTTTGGGCTTGATTCTTATAAAACTCAGAATGTGGTCGAATTTACTTCCATTTTTTTTTTTAGGACTTTTAAATGCATTTAATGTTCATTAGTAAATAAATCAGGATATCGTATTTTTCGAAATATCAATTTCGAAAAAATTCACCATCTCTTGGATAATAAAAAAATAAAACATGAAAACAAAAATTTTAAATTCAATTTATTTGTTAAGGGAAAGAAATAGGTTTAAAACGAGGTTTTGTTAGAGATTTTTGATTAATTTTTTTTTCAAAGTAGAAATGTATATAACATTTTGCTTATTTTCGAATAGAAACTTCGGAACACAGAAAAAATGCTGGGTAAATTTTGTTGCGAGTAATTTTCACCAATGCTAATTCACATAGACGGTGGCGCCCTCATAAAATTTGTTGCAGGTAATTTTTTATACCGATTTTGGGGTAAAAATTCTACTTTTTTTTCGTGTTAAACTATCAGAGTTCTGACTCACTTATCGATAGTTACTGATTGTCGGTAACTGATTTACTACTGAGTCGGTAAGTTACCAACGGCTGGTAATACAGATTTCATAAGGCCATTTTGACCATCGATCGGTATTGCAGATTTCTGTAAGGGTATTTTATCAGCAGTCATTATTGAAGAGTAGGACTAAATTGCTACGGTTTTGTGGGTACCATTTTTGTTAATTTAAGTAAAATTCAGTCTGTTTTACCATATAAAATTAATTTTTTTTTGAAATGTAAATTGTAAATTCTTTTTTGTAGCATTTAATGAAAATATTTAATACACCGTCCGACAAAATTCAACTTTTTTTTTACACATAAAAAAATCAATGATTTTCAGAAACTAGGACCAAAAAAAAGATATCCGTGTCTGGCCGTTTTGATAGATCAGGTCATTTTTTGCTTTTAGGGGTAAAAACAACCCTTAAATGAAAGGAGATAGGAAATCTTGTACAAATTAATAATTTTTTATGAAACCTGGTATCTCAGGGTTTTCCGGGTCGCTGATTACGAATCTGATGTCAGATTTTCAAAATTCAAAATGGCGGATTCAATATGGCGGTCGAAATTTATATAAATTCACCAATTCATTTGAAAGTTGTTACTTAGGGGTTTTTTGGGTCGCTGATTACGAATATGATGTCAGATTTTAAAAATTTAAAATGGCGGATTCAATATGGAGGTCGAAATTTATAAATATTAATTATTTTTTATAAAACTTCGTATCTAGGGGTTTTTGGGGTCGCTGAGTACGAATCTGAAGTCAGATTTTTAAAATTCAAAATAGATCTAATAATGTGGAAGATTAGACAGTTGTTTATATGTTCGTTTTCAGTTGCATAGTTACGGAAAATAGTACATAAAACAAATGACAATTGTAGACTTTTTTACTTTGCACAGCAGTTTTAAACAATCACTTCACATCTTTAAATTCATCTTACTTGAGCCTATTACTGTTATCTAATAAAAATATTCTTACTTACTACAAAGCCTGTTTTGTCATTAAAAAAGTGTCCAATATTCAAAAAACACATATGTGGAAATTTTTATTTTTTATATATTGTTTTATAATCTTCCACATTATTTAATCGATTTTGAATTTTAAAAATCTGACTTCAGATTCGTACTCAGCGACCCCAAAAACCCCTAGATACGAAGTTTTATAAAAAATAATTAATATTTATAAATTTCGACCTCCATATTGAATCCGCCATTTTAAATTTTTAAAATCTGACATCATATTCATAATCAGCGACCCAAAAAACCCCTAAGTAACAACTTTCAAATGAATTGGTGAATTTTTATAAATTTCGACCGCCATATTGGATCCGCCATTTTGAATTTTGAAAATATGACATCAGATTCGTAATCAGCGACCCGGAAAACCCTGAGATACCAGGTTTCATAAAAAATTATTAATTTGTACAAGATTTCCTATCACTTTTCATTTAAGGGTTGTTTTTACCCCTAAAAGCAAAAAATGATCTGATCTAACAAAACGGCCAGACACGGGTATCTTTTTTTTGGTCCTAGTTTCTGAAAATCATTGATTTTTTCGTGTGTGAAAAATTGTGTCAGACGGTGATATATATAAAGAAGATTATTCTGAAAATCCCATTTAATATTGCAAAAAATAATCTAGCAATTTTGATTATCGATTCAATTTACTGAAGCGCATAATGAGAGGGTAGGTGTTTATTACGAAGCAAACGACGTGGAATATAATCAGACCACATTGTATAGGCAAGTAATATAACTACAATATAATGGCTTGAATGAACTGACTTTGACCTTTATTAACGCGTAAAATGTGATTGGTAGGTAAGACGTTGTACAAGGCATCAAAGTTAGCTCGTATTTCATTTGCTCCATACTCGTAAAAATTCGCGCAAATCTTTTTCTTTTTTACCCCTTGACGATCTATATATATATATATGCGCGCATTTTCTCTCCTAACTTTTTCTTTGTCTTCTAAAAAATTTTTCCCTTGTGTTCTCTCAATTTTAAAGATGAAAAAAAAAATAAAATCCTGCTACTTTGCCAATATATATATATATCCCTTCACGATATT